CAAATCGGCTCAGGAGGCTTTGGGCAAAGAATTAAGTGGAGATTTCCAGGTACATGGGATGGGCAGTAAAGAACAGACCCTCTCCACCTCCCACCATTCCACTCCCTCTTCCCAAGAGATCCTTACAAAGTTCTCTAGCAGATGAAGTGGTTCACACAGCTTGGGGACTCCCTGCCCTGTGTCCAGGGTCCTAGTCATCTCTGGAAGCGAGACCTAACCACAGGCCTTAGAAGCCTGAAGGTTGCTTTTGGTGGTTTGGTACTCCCACCACTCACCTTGTGGAAAAGCTCAGCTTGACACGGTCCAGTTCCACCTTGTGTACAAAACCTTTGTAAGTGACAGGGTCCTCTTGTTGGGTCTCAGAGGACAGAAGGGCAAACAGGTGGTCACCCCGTAGCACTGAGGGGCGGCTCTCAGTGACACCAGGAACCTATAGGATATGAACACAAGGAAACTTTCCTTCCTTCCTTCCTTCCTTCCTTCCTTCCTTCCTTCCTTCCTTCCTTCCTTCCTTCCTTCCTTCCCCTCTTTTCTTTCCCCGAGACAGGGTTTCTCTGTGTAGCACTGGCTGGCTGTCCTGGAACTCTCTGTAGATCAAGTTGGCCTCAAATTCACAGGATCTGCCTGCCTCTGCCTCTTAGGTGCTGGGATGAAAGGTGTGCTACCACCTGGTTTAAAGTTTTTCTACGGGGGAAGAGGGGAGGGAGAGGGAGCTGGGATTGACATGTGAAACAAGATTGTTTCTAACCTAAATAAAAATAATTATTAGAAAAGAAAAAGAAAAAGACAGTCTTTCTATCCCATATCCCATGGGTTCTGGGCTCATAGCCCCAGCTTACCCGTTTTCCTTTCTTACAAGGCAAAGCAAGAATCGGCGGGCGGGAATGGGAAGGACCATAGGCTGTAGAGGTGCCTAGCCTGGGTATCTAAGAGCCTCCGGGGTAAGACTTTTACATGGGGTGGCCATGTCCCAGTCCAGTTAGTGTCTCCTTAGCCAGCTCAGCTCCAGCTTTGCCTTAGAGCCTTGGTGCAAACTCCCTTCTCGAAATGACCTTTCCCTGACATCTTACGTCTCGCCCTTCCCATCTGTATGCACTCTTCTGCATTAATCCATTCTCATGAGCAAGTCTGAGCTTGTGTGTATATGTTCAAAATGTGAGGGCTGGTGAGGTGGCTCAGTGGGTAAGGGTGCCTGCTGCTAAAACTGACAACCTGACCAGACTGATGGCTGGGAGGCCAGCATGGGACTGATCCAGACCCCCTGAACGTGGGTGTCAGTGAGGAGGCCTGGGCAACCTATGGGGCCTTGGGTAGTAGATCAGTATTTATCCCTGGCATACAAATGGACTTTGGGTGGCCATCCAACAATGAGGACTCTTGGGGGACGCCCTGCCCTGAATGAAATGACAGACTCTGGAGGTCCCCCATAGAGGGCCTCACCCACCCTGGGGAACGGAGTGAGGATTGGGTGGGGGACTGGGAAGCCTGGTGGGGATACAGGGAAGGAGGGGAGGGAGAGGGAGCTGGAATTGACATGTGAAGCAAGCTTGTTTCTAATTTAAATTAAAAAAACAAAAAAACAAAACTGACAACCTGAATTTAATCCCTGGGACCTACATGGTGGAAAGAGAAAACAGACTCCTGCAAATTGTCCTCTGGCCTCCACATGTGTGGTATTCATGTTGCACGCACACAAAATTACACACACACACATACACACACACACATATATAATTTTTTTTTTTTTGGTTTTTCGAGACAGGGTTTCTCTGTGGCTTTGGAGGCTGTCCTGGAACTCGCTCTGTAGACCAGGCTGGCCTCGAACTCACAGAGATCCGCCTGCCTCTGCCTCCCGAGTGCTGGGATTAAAGGCGTGCGCCACCAACGCCCGGCTCACACATATATAATTTTAAAAATCAAAATGTGAACATTTGAAAAGGGTCTCAGAATTATCCACAAAGCTGAGAAAACAAGGGACTCATCAAGATCACATAGCTGGCAGCAAAAACCTACATTAAAATCCCATTACCAATATGAACGGGGTGTGGTAGACTGTTCCTATAACTCCAATACTGGGGTGGTAGACAAAGGAGGGTTAGAAGTTCAAGATCACCCTTGGCTACAAAGTAAGTCTGAAGCTAGCCTGAGCTACATGGGACCCTGCCTAAAATAAATGAGTGGAAAAAAACCATTGTCCTATTCTGGTACATTGTGGGGGACAGGAAGCTCACCCCACTCTTGGTCTATATCTTCTAAAACAGGAACTGTTTCATCCTGTTAGGGATCGTGCCCTGTTACATCCTTCAAGTTGACTGGCATGCCCGCCCCTCCCCACAGTAGATTTGAGCCCTAACCTCCAGTGTGAGCAGCCTGGGATTCTGATCCACAGGGTCCCAGGTCATGGGCACCGACTCCAGGTCGTAGTGCCGGATATCGTGCTCCATCTGCAGCTCCTCCAGGTGCAGCAGTAGCCGGAGCTTCACCTCATAGTTCCTGGACTTCAGGGTTGTCTCCAGCTGGGCCCTGGTAGGGATGGTTGAGTTGGGGCAGGAACAGAGTGGATCAGACACAGCCCTCACCCTCCCGCCCGCTCTCTCTGTTCATTCATCCCCATGCTGACATGCCGTGGGCACCGAGCAGGGAGCACAGACAGAAGACAAGGCAGCATGTGATACGAAGTGCCGGTACCTACTTGATCTCAGCAACCTCCTTCGGGGAGGTGAAGATACTTGGTCCCTGAAGAAGGGTAGGGAGCAGTTGCCTGAGGCGGAGGGGTGGGTAGTAGGTCCCCAGGGCCAAACTGAGCTCTAGTTCATAGCCCTTGGCGCTGTGGGAGGGAAGAAAACCTGTCACAAACACAGAAATCCCTCATCTTCATAGACTCTGAAATGTCCCATGGAGTCTGCAGAAGGCATTCCTCCGTATATCGTTCCACTTTTTTGGTGTCCTTACTGCCAAATGGAGCACACAGAAACATTTCTCCAATGACTTCTGTGGTGTGGTCAGCAGCCATGCAGGGATCCCTTGCTCACGCAGTGGCTTGGTCCAAGGTTGGACCATTTGCATTTTTGAAATATTTTTAAAGACTTATTTAATTATTATGTATACACTGTTCTGCTCAAATATATGACTGCATGACAGAAGAGGGCACCAGATGTCATTATGAACGGTTGTGAGCCACCATGTCCTTGCTGGGACTTGAACTCAGTCAGGGCTCTTAACCTCTGAGCCATCTTTCTAGCCTGTATTTTTGAAATATTTAAAAATACATATTTTGTGAGCCGGGTGTGGTGGTACAGGTCTATAATCCCAGCAATGGCAGTGAGTACAATGAGCTACCCAGCCCAGCTCTGGCTAAAATAAACAATAAAAACAAAGCAATATGTTTTAAATAATAACTAAGTAACATTTCTATCATTCCAGAACAGTCAATCCTAATATCGATTTCTTTCTTTTTTTGGCAGGGGTATGTGTGTGTGTGTGTGTGTTGAGACAGACTTTCTCTATGTATTCCTGGCTGTCCTGGAACTTGCTCTGTAGACCAGGCTGGCCTCAAACTCACAGAGATCCATCTGCTTCTGCCTCTCCGGTACTGGGATTAAAGGGGTACGCCACCACGGTCTGGTTATATATATTGGTAATAAGAGGAACATATAACTATAAAGATCTTATTACATGGTTTGCATGTATTACTCGTGATTTTAAAATGTTTATCTTTCTGTGGATTGTGTGTGTGAAGAGGGCACCAGGAGTTAGACAGTTGTGAGCCACTCAAGCTGGGTGGTGGGAGTGAACTCAGCCTGCTGCAGGGCAGCAGAGTCACCCCTCCACCCCTTCATTTTGTTTTTAGACGGTCTTTCTCTGAGCCTAAAACTCTCAGAGCACAAGCTGAACTGTAACTCACAGAAACTCTGCCTTGGCTTCCAACGTGCTAGGCGCTACCACGCCTTGCTCTCAGATTTGATTGTCTATTTACTAGACAAGGTTTCACTATGTGGCCCTGGCTGGTCTGCAGTGCTATGTAGACCACGCTGATCTTGAACTCACAGAGACCTGTCTGCCTTTGCCTTTGCCTCCTGAGTGCTGAGATGAAAGGCATGGGCCACGACAACTGGCCCTTTTAATAGCTTTGTTGGAAAGCTCACATCCAGTTTTGTGACTGGTCTACTGTATTCACACATACGTGTAACTATCATCACCGTCAGTTTTAGAACACTTTGGACAAGCAGCCCTTCAGCTACCAGCCTTCTGCTCTGCCAGCTCCCTCAGATGGAGACATCTAATAGTGAGTGCCAGGTGTGGTGGCGTACGCCTTTAATTCCAGTACTTGGGAGGCAGAGGGAGTGGATCTCAATGAGTTCCAGGTCACTTTAGTCTGCATAGTGAGCTCCAGGTCCTCCAGGATAATACAGTGAGACCCTGTCATGAAAAATAAAATTAAGTCAGGCAGAGACAGACAGATCTCTGTGAGTTTGAGGCCCACCTAGTCTACATAGAGAGTTCCAGGATAGGCAGAGCTGTTACACAGAGTTTGGTTCCCACCACCCAGGTCAGGTGGCTCACAACAGTCTACAACTCCAGCTCCAGGGGAATTGGCACCCACACTATTAAAAATAACACAGATCTTTAAAAAACAAATGGAGGGGGGCTGGAGAGATGGCTCAGAGGTTAAGAGCACTGACTGCTCTTCCAGAGGTCTTGAGTTCAATTCCCAGCAACCACACGGTGGCTGACAACCATCTACAATTCAATCTGGTGTATATGTAATAAATAAATAAATCTTTAAAAAAAAGATGATAAAAAAAACAAATGGGGGTGGAGTAGGTGATGTAGTTCAGGGGGAAAACATTACTTGGCATGCACAAAGCCCTGAGTTCAATGCCCAGCACCATGGAACAAGACGAGGTGGATGGAGGAAGTGGAGGGGAGAGGAAAAAGAAAGGTCCACAATAGGCTACCATTTCTCTACATAGTGTAAACACTTAAGAATGTCCACGTGTGATCCCTTTGGCATCACACATATTAATTGGAATGATACAGAGAAAATTAGCATGGCTCCTGCATAAGGATGACACACAAATTCATGAAGCATTAAAAAAAAAGAATTTTCACACTGTCCCTCCTGTAGCTTGCTTCTCTGACACGAAAGTAATGTGAGACCCAGGAGGGAACAACCTGAAGTTCAGAAAGGGGGCTGTGTCTCCTAGCTCGGGGGTCTTCCCAAGTGCCCACGATGTCATTATCCAGTTACCGGTCAGGCCTCTCTCCTTCCTCTATCCGGTTGGTCAATACAGGGTTTCTAGTAAGCCGAGGGGGGCGCTTGAAGGGAGTCGTGGGCTTCAACTGTGCAGCCAGGGGGCTGTGGGCGACGGCAGCCAAGAAGCGAGCAATGTAGAAAGTTTCTGCTCCTTCTGCCCCTGCGTCCCCAGGTCCCAGCAGTTCCCAGAGGACAGTGGCTGGGAAGTAGCCCACAATACTGGTCTTACAGTAGACATGCAGCTCATAGCTTTCACCTGCAACAAGGTAAGCTGAGTGAGGCAGAGGCCCTACCCACAGCAACCCCATCCCAAGGCAGGAACCCACTGAGCAGAGACAATATTTTTCCGGGTTAGACCACCCGAGGGCTACTTCACCTTACAAGACCACTCACCTGGGCCCAGTGGGCAGGGCAGGTCCTGTTCGCCATGGTAGAAGGCAAACTGGGGTGTCCAGCAGAGTGGAAAGAGATGAGTGAGGGTAACAGGCTTGGTTCCTCCGTTTCGAAGTCTTAGGGTCAGTACCTCTTTGCGGTTCAAGTCCAGGCGGATAAGGAGCTGCCCATCTCGGGCTTCATGGGGTCCCTGGACCTCCACGTCCACCCCATGCTTCCCATGAAGATATTCAGCCCTGGGGAAGAGTGGGAGTCAAGGGAGTATGGGGCAAGAGGACCTTGGACTGGGAAATTGCCCTGGGGAAGGTATCAGGAGTGCTTGGGAACCCATCTCCTCCCTGGATTAATTCCCTGTCTCTTCCTTCCTGGGGGAGGGGGAGCTTACCAAGGAAATCCACTGGTTTTCAAGCCAGACATCCTTTCCCTTGCCCTCCCCTGCCCACTCACAGGGCATGCGCTCACACACCTGTCATGAAAGATCCTGGCCAACAATGACCTGTGTTGTTTGCTGACATTCGAGCCTGGCTTTATTCGCCTCTTTTCTGGTAACTGCACATCAGCCCAGCGGTCTAGTTTGAAGAACCTGACCCGAGTCTTGGTGACGAAGGCCAGATTTGCAATCTTCATTCCATACAGCATGGAGGAGAAGCCAGGGGCAGGGGTCCCATAGCTGCCAGAAGCAGAGGACACTGGGAAGTGAGGGAAGGCAGGGTGGCTGTGGAGAGGGTGCTGGGGAAGGCCCAAGGGCTGCTTGCTCTCTGCAGGGACACACCAGCCCTGCTTCAAGACAGGATGGGGCTCAGAGGCAGAGACTCCGGCTAGGGATGGGAGGAATTTTTAACAACTTAAAGCAAGGCATTGGGGCTTTCCAACACAAAATAACTGGCTTAAACAGCACTGTGGAGAAAAGTCCAATATTGGGCTGTTGGCTGGGAAGACAAAGAGAGAAACAGATTTTTTTTTAAAAGGGGGGAGGGGACATGACTATTTGGGACATCAAAAAAAAAAGTGCAGCGGGAAGAGCTAAGGCTAAAGGGAATTTGAAAACGATGGCTCATAGGAATGGACAGGTCCCAGGCTGTAGGGAGGGCTGAGAAAGGGGGTCATAGAGAGCAGAGATGTCCAGAGTGTGGGCAAGGTGGCAGATCGGACAGCAGTTTCCACCGGAAGTCAAAGGGTGCAGGTGGAACCCAAGCAGGAAGGGAAAGGATCCTTCTCCCGAGATCAAATAGCCTGGCTTTGTGCCTAGAGAGGTGAAGACAGGAAGAGTGGTCAGCAGGGCGACCTCAGGCTCAGCACCTGGTGTTCAGTGTAGTCCACTCCACACACTTACGGAGGCATGCTAGGTGCCGACACTGCACTTGCGGCTGGTTCCAAGCTGCCTACCCTAGATCCAGCCTTGAGGACCACTCAGAGAGAACCCAGACGTTCCAGCATGGTGATGGGGCGGGGTTGCTGAGACTGCCCCGAGCAGCTCAGTGGGCTAAGCCTGGGCACTGAGGACTGTCTGGGGCAGGGACAGGTCTCTGAGGAATGAGTGGGCATTCCCCAGGCAAGAGGAACACAAAGTGGGCAAACTCATGGGTATGGGTGACGGGCTGTGCGTGCCAGCTGCTTCAGCGGGCTTCAGGGGGCTATCTCCCAGCACGTTGCTTTCTTCCTCTTTTGAGCTATTGGGGTCTACGGAGGGCAGAGGTTAAGAATTCTACCTAGCATGTGTGAGGCCTGAGGTTCAACCCCAAAACAAAACACAAAACAAAAAGAAAAACACAAAAACAAAACATCCCAAACAAACCAAAATACCCCAATACCCAAAAAACAAAAACAAAAAAATAATATGGGAACTGAAGACCTGCTTAAAAGGCCACCCTGAGGCTCACTTGAGACAGGACATTGTAGGGAACCATCAGCCCAGTGCTTGGCACGAAGCAGACCTCAGTAAGGGTGAGTGGAGGTTAGTGTCACATACAATTGATTTGTACTACAGTGAAAGGCTCAAGGGAAGGGATGATAGGAGGTGGCAGAGATGGGCAGATCCAGATTGTTTTACATGACAGGCAAGGAGCCTGGACCCGACCCTGACTTTCAGTAGTCCTCCACTTCCCTTTTCTGGTACCCAGGAGCCTGAGGATGCTCCCAAACACATGACATAGCTGATGAACAGTCAAGATCTGGAGGAGTGATAACTTCCCTCAATGGTCGTTGGGACTGTTGGGTTATCACAGCATAACCTAGCAACAGTGTGGTGATTCTTAGTAACCTATCACTGGGGATAAATCAGCACGGCTGCTTAAAAGAGGACACAGTAAGGTCCTTTGTGGCTCAGAACATCTTGTGTCCCATACCTATAACTCTGCCTCTCTCCTTCATCCCAAGAAAGGAGAGCAGTATGATTCAGACAACATTGAAGAGACTATGGTTTCTTTTAAAAGGATGGTAAGTCATTTGAAAGCACAGTGAGAAATGCTTGGTAAATGTTAGCTGCTATAGTTAGTATTTGTATTAGTGGGAAGAGGTCTAATCACAGCAGGGGTAGGAACAACTTACTTTCAGCCCTTGTCAGAGGCTACCCTGTAGTTACAGAACCACTGCAGGTGGGTTTTAAGCAGGGGAGTGGCAAGATCATATTTGCATTTCAGATCACTCTGGCATCAGGATTGAAGGATGAATATGCTGGAGGCAAGACTGTAGGCAGGGAGATCAGTTAGAAGAAGGCCACTGCAGTTGTCTGGTTAAGAGATACCAAAGGCCTGAATGGGGCAGTGGTAGAAACAGGAGGGGTTGGATCTGATCATATTGAGAACGCAAATTAGCAGAATTTGGTGACTGACGGGAGGGAGAATAGAGAGTGGAAGGAGAGAAGCACCTGGAATACCCAAATCAAGGACTTTAGTTCTGCAACTGTCCCCAAAGAAGCAGGAGGTAGGTAGCCAGAAGGACCATCACATTTGCATTGGACATGATGGGTTTGAGATGCCTGTGGTCCAAAGGCAGCCCTGGTTATGTGAGGCAGGAGCTGAGATCTCACATCAAAGTCAATATTAGGGAGTCCCCTGGTGATAGTTAACAACCAAGGACTCGTGCTTGGGACCTCCCCAGGGAGATGTAGTCTGAGAATAGCCAAGACCAACACAGGCCAGGGAGGAAGAGGAAACAGAAGAAGCCTCAAGAGGGAGAAGAATCAGAAGAGAGCATGGTAGAAAGAGGCATGGTGGTTCATACCCATAATCCCAGCACTTGGAAGGCAGAGGCTGAAGACCACCCCAAATCTGATGTTAGCCTGGTCTGCATAATAGGGTGCAGAGTAACTGGGGCTATACAGTAAGATACTGTCTCAAAAACAAACTGGGCTGAGCTTGGTGGCACACACCTTTAATTCCAGCATGTGTGAGGCTTGTGAGGCAGAGGCAAGTGCATCTCTGTGAGTTTGAGGCCAGCCTGACCTACTTAGTGAGTTCGTACCAGCTAAAGGTACACATCGAGACTCTGTCTCAAAAACAAACAAACGAAACACCCCAAAGAAACAGAAGGCTGGTGAGACAGCTTAATAGGTAAAGGTGCCTGGTCCACCTTCCAGTTACATATATATGGTGGAAGGAAGAGCCGGCTCCCATAAATTGTCCTCTGACCCCCACACAAGCGCACACTAAATAAATATAATTTACAAAGGAACAAAAATGGGATAGTATGGAGGAGTTTACAATGAAAAGAATGATAGAAAAGGACAGCTGGGCAGTGGTGGCGCACACCTTTAGTCCCAGCACTTGGGAGGCAGAGGCAGAGGGATTTCTGAGTTCAAGGCCAGCCTGGCCTACAGAGTGAGTGCCAGGACAGTCAGAGCTACACAGAGAAACTCTGTCTCAAAAAAAAACTAAAAAGAAAAAAAAAAAGGAAAGAAAAGGACAGAAGATAATGGCCCTCTGTGGGTAAACTTACCTAGGTTTAAGTATGCATGCATAAGGAGAAATGAAGAAGGCATTCAGCAAGCGTGAGACATTTAAGCAAGACTGCATAGCACATGCAGTGTGAAAGGCCTTCACTCCAAGCTCTTGCTGATATGGGAAGGACAGCAATTGTTACTTGGTAAGCATTCCTCTTAACTATACATATACAGACAGACACGATTTGTGACAGTGCTCTATGGTGCCATCTTCTTCCTCTGAACAGCTACAGAAAGTAGCCCAGCTTTAATTTAAATGGGGTAGTCAATTCTCCAATGACAGAGGCAGGCTGCTCATGCTTTTTGATGCCATAATAATAATCATTCACACACACACAAAAAAAGCTTGTACTTTAAACAAATCCAGTGGGACACGCTCTTGGAAACAGAATTTCGGGGTGAGCCAAAAAGAATGAATGAACTTTTACAACTTTAGTAAAAAGGTGATTTTCTTTTGGAGATAGGAGCTGGCCTCAAACTCATGATCCTACTGTCTGGATTTTCAGACACTGGATTTAC